TGGCTAGCTTTCAAGTATTTGAAAAGTGCTATCATATCTCCCTTAGTCTTCTTTACTCAAGCCTAAACATGTCCAATTATTTCAGTCTTTAAAGCAATCCTTAGTGGGGCATGGATGACTGTAGTCAGTTCTCTGCATATCTTCTTACAAAGCAGGCAAAGTAGCTGAAACTGGTAAAAAGTACAGCTGGAACAGGAGCATCCAGGAGCCTGCCATTTTAACCAAGAGTGATCTTTGTGACCACAGAGCAATCCTGCTCATGCACCTGTTTCATCCATATTTAATATTGTTGATGTGTTTGCTTCAAGGCATAACAACTTCTTTGCTTGAAAGAACGTTGTTGACACTGGTATAGAAAACGGCACCAGAAAAATGCTGTAGGTTTAAATACTGATTTGAAAGAAAATTGACTGTTATCATCACACTTCTTGGGGCGGCGGCGGGGGGGGGACACAACAACTATTTTCTACTAAAAAACTTATATTGTCTAACTATCTCAGAGGTCTGAGCAACACCCACCCAGGTTTTTCTTAAAAGGCAAATATACATATACATATTAACCATGCTTTAGTAGGCATGTATTTATTTATGAAGATAATTGCCCCCTACAAACGCACAGTGGCTCTGAAAGGTCTGTTGTGCTGACACATTGCAATGCAGTGTTCAAGTGAGACAGATCTCTCGGTGCATGCGAACGATTGCAGGATTGTTTCTTACCCAGTATAATTAGAACATCCGTTCCGCAGAGGGAAAACATTTAAAAGATAAAGAGTGTATTTAAAAATGAATCTTCCCAATGCAATTTTTTCATAATTATAGTTTTAACAGCTTATGGTGATGGGGGAAGCGGCTACTTAAGAAAAATTAGGAGCCTCATTTGGGGGAAGATGATGCCTCAAGAGACCTCATGCTGTCATTTTTCAAGAGCCCGAACAGGGAGTTTCTTCTGAAAAGAGCTGAAAGCTCTTGATGCATTGGGAGCATACTTACCTTATTACGAACAGGGCTGGATATTTTAATTAAAAATGCCACATATGTCATTAAATGTCGTGATTTCATTTTCTTGTTTCACATTTTCTGAAGATGCAGTGAAAAGAACAAATCGTGGATACACACAGCAGGATAGAGTTGGGGAAAGTGCATCTCCTACAGACTCAGAACCAGTTGGCTTTCTAACTCCACGCATGGTGTATCTGATCATCAAATGCTCTTACTGTAACATACAATCCCCTATAATTTTCACAGTTTTCTGCAGCTGCTAAGGGGTGGGGGTGGTATGAGAAAGACTCGCTCTGTGTGTTTGTGTGTCTGTGTGTGTCTGTCTGTGTGTGTGTGTGTGCACGTGTCATTGTCACCTCATTTAAATTAGGAGGAAGCCTGTTGTTTTACAAATAACCTTCATGATAAAAACAAAAGTCTCATAGCACCATTTTCAACTGTGCTTTTATAAGGATCCTCTGAGCAGAAGTGAGTATACAATCCACCCGGCAATCGAATCACAGCTGTGTGCCTTGGTGGGGACTCTCGGTGGAGACAACACTTCGTTAATTTAAACAATTGTAGACTGCAGGAGTTCAAAAATAAAATATCAGCTGACTAACTGTCACAAGACCAAGCACCTTTATCCCCAGGCGAGCAGCAGCAGCTGGATTTCATTTCTTGCTGCCAGACTGTCCGACATCTTTGCTGAACATCCCAGGAACTGAGCGCCTTTACTTTAAGGATTTTATTCAAGGTGACAGCTCCTCACACTTTAGCGTTCAGATCACCTCAAGTAGCTGAGATCTCAGTGAAAATGAGAGCACTTCTGCAGCAATCTCCAAATTTAGATTGACTGAGGTTATCCTTAGGCCTCTAGGACCCAACCTCCATGACAGAACAGGCCTGCCAGGAACTTTAAAACTACCGTAGAGTTTGTAATGATGTCTGGGGAGAAATCTTCTGCAGGAACCACGGAGAATACTATAAGTGATAGGAAAGGATGTCAGGTTTCGTTAGGGCTGGAGACAGTGTTAGAATATACGTGGCATAATATGGCACCGGTATCTCTGTCAGCATCTCTGTTTTCTGTCACCGCACACAATTCCAGGCCTGTCTGTAGCCGTGACAGTGTCTTTTCAGATCAGGTTATTGCTAGGCCAAAGACTCGCTCAGCACACTGCCAGATAGCCCCCTTTGTTTGAAGCCTGCCCTTTTGTCATTAACGCACTTGATGTCTATTTAAAATCTGATGGTGAATGCAGTATCTGTTTTCCTGTCAAGAGATCATTGACAATATTAATACCTCATGTCCTTGCCTCGTTTTCTAAGCGCTGACACCTAGCTGCGGTCTCCGGCATTCATCAAAGAGCACTCTCTCACCAGGATTTCCATAAAGAGTCCTCAGTCCCAAATGCTGAGCAACATGGCTGCCCTCGCAGAGGGCTTTTATCAATGCTCTCTGCCCAAGGAGCCTGCAGAATGCTGTTAATCAGGAAAACAATGAAGGCTAATAAAATGCACACTTTGAGGACTTTATATTTCGATACTTAAAACCAACAGACCCATCCAGCTCTATGAGAAAAGGCAATGATGTTAACCGTGTTCAAGGGAAATGATGTTCTAGAAGATAAATGTCCAGTTTTCCATGCAGGTTGATTTCTTTAAAAATGGCAAAGACATGGGCAAATCACTCTGTTTCTGTTCAGTGCCACATTTCACCTGCTCAACCAAAAGTCCACATTGTCCCATTTTGCATTATTCTCTTACAATAAATCTGCATTGAACACTTAGAATTTAAATTGAATTTAAATTTATTTTCTCTCAAAATGCACTTCTAAATGCATTTCTATCACAATGTTCATTTCTAAACATAATTCAGATTTAATCATACAGAGCAGGCCCACTGAAACCAACAAGAATAAAGTTAGTCGTGATTTCAGTGGGTCTGCTCTAAGTTCTAGATCCAACCCACAAACATTCAAAATGTGTATTTAAAAATATGTCCCTGTGGGAAACAAACAGTTGAGTCCTTGGCACACACCATTCTAGAATGTAGCTTATATAGGTCTGAATGTATCCGTTACCTCTACCCAATAATGTGTAAATGTACTAGTATACCTCCCACAGACTACCTGAAGTTTCTGCTGTCCGGAGAGAACCAATTAATAACTCCGTCGGTGGCTAAGTTTTTATTCTCAGTTTTAAGAATTCGTAAAATGTTATATTAAGACAACCACATGACTCAAGTTTTATACTGCTGATATGTTCTAACAACTTATTCTGTATATCTTATATAATGTTTTTATCTTTGTATTTTCGGGCCTATGACCGTATAATAATAAAACAAACACACAAGTATTTAAAAATTTTATTTTGATTGCAAACCTATACATGCTTACTTGAAAGAAAGCATCAACAAGTTTAGTGAGGCTTGCTCCCATGTATCTAGGCAGCACATTGTTACCTTTGCTAGCTTTAGAAATGTGCTACAATATTTGGAAAATACCAAAACTGATAGATGACTAAGATCTGATACACACACACATATACGGGGGTGTGGATTGGGTCAGATCATTTTGTAATTAGCAAAGAACTGAACTCAAACATCCCTAAAATGGCTGCCATTTGGAAGCAACAGAAATGATCCACCATTGTTTATTTCTGGCTATGGAAGGCAAAAATGTCCTAGGCCTGACAATAGGAAATTCATGGCTGCAGTTACAAGTATATATTTGATACGTGGCTGCCATTTTATGTTCATTCTTTAATTATAAATGTCTCTTTAGATTAGGGATGCTCAAAAATTTCTCTTAGTCTTAATTTCAAAGTGAAACAAGCAAACCTGTACCTCTTGGGCTGATGTGCATTGTGGTGACATTCAGAGTTTAAAAATGAAAACCAAAATGTGTACGAAAAAACATTCAAAAATAAAGTATATTTTAATGTGTACTTTGAGAAAACCATGTAGGAGTTGTAGTCTGTCAAAATTAATATAATCGGAGTATATTTAAATACACATTGACTTGTGTATTTAAGTCAGTGTGACTTGTAAAATCAAATTAATGCAGAACCAGGATGAAATAGATTTCTGAAGTCACTATTAACAAGAAATAGAATGATCAATCCATCCCTGCTCCAGGTAATCATCTAATATGAAAATGTAGGTTAGGGCTTCATCTGAATTTCAAGCTGCATGTGGACATTCCTGCTTGGATGAAACAACTAAGGCATTATATAGAGGGGCAGAAATGCCCGTCTTGCTGGTCATCTAGACATAGCAGTAACATCTGCACAGAGCTCACATGAATTAAATCTGAAAAGCACAATCAGATTCATATAAGAAACTGAATATTATCACACAATTTGGGCTTTTCACATATTGTATTTTTTTCATTCAGATGTCATAGACATTCAGGGGTGTCTAGCGGTAGAGACATATTAATGGGCAGGATAATGGGCACAAATTTTGCTGTCCCACTCCGCCAATGGAAAAAAAACAGGATGAACACAGAGGCTGAGAACGCAGCTAATGGACAGTGTGCTGGGATACATCTCAATGATGTAGCTTGTCACATGCCCGGTTTCACAAACATGATATGCCCTGGCACCTTGTCCATTAGACTTAGACACACACACACACACACACACACACACACACACACACACACACACAGAGAGAGAGAGAGAGAGAGAGAGAGAGAGAGAGAGAGTCCCCAAATTGCCATCTAAAATAACATTGTGGAGTTACAAAGAAAACTTACACTCAAAAATTCTAACAATGTTAGAGGTTGTGTTTTGTTTTGTTTTTCAAAGTAACAACACCCCTTAATAACACCTTCCAAACTCTACTGTCCAACCTGGGCCAATGCTGTCTTTTCCCCAAAACTGTTAAGTATATAAGCTCACATTTTTATTGAATGGAATCCTTTGCCTGTCCCTCTTCTTTTCTGACTCTGCTCTGTGTTACGATTGCATACATCATGTTAAATGCTAACCTTTTGGTTTCTCTTTCGCTGCAGGTGTTCTAGGGAAATGCCGTTATGTCTACTACGGGAAGCATTCGGAAGGCAACCGATTTATACGCGATGACCAGCTCTGAGGGGAAATGTGCCTGTGCGAAAGCATCCATCACGGCACATCACACCACCCAGAGAAAGAGAATGAGGGAGAGAAAAACAAATTGCATCCATATCTTGAAAAGGAAAAGAAAAAGCATGTGTAAACCAAAGTCCTCCAGTACCTTCTGCTGACTTTGCCAGACTTGTCAAAATCATCCTTCTGCTTTAGCCTGAGTAGTCACATAGAGATTGACATGATTGCCTCTAAGCAGGTCCCATCCACCAGTGTGACAGACAGCTGCAGCAAAGCACCAGGCCTGACAGGAAGAACACCATGATGGATTGCCTGGTCCAATTGCTGCTCGCCGAAGAGCAAAGGTCACACCTGGGGCCTCACAGAGCATGCTCAGCTGCTTTTAAGAAAAGCAACCCTTTTTATCTGCAGCTTACCAGTGGAGTCAGAAAGCTGCACGTTTATCCAGAAAAGCTTGTAGTTTAAGATTTTCAAAATGCACCAATTCTCCACCGGTTTAATTTCCTTTTAAAAAGCCACCTTAAAAAAAATGTAGATACATGGTGGGGCAGGCACAGTACATGTAAAAGAACAGGGTTTGGGTGTTCACCAGTAAATGGTGGAGGAGAGATTACTTGATAAAATGCAGAAGTTTTTGAATTTGCTCCTATTAAATTAAAAATACAAATACAGGAACATAGAAGTAACACAGGAGCTACAAAAGGTGGCCCAGTTTACATAATTTTGGGAAAGAAGAGTAATTCCTCTCGTTCTCATCAGCACTTGGAAATCAGCAAGTTTCTCCTGTTCTCAAGTAGTATTGGCGGTCTTTCTACTCACCAGTGTCCCCAAAAAGCAATCCTAGCCTATTGCCTTTTTGCTAACTCAAATTAACCTCTTATTGGAGTTTTTGGAAAAAGGGATTTTCTTGTTGTTTTAATTTTTTTTTTAGAGAATTGCTTAGTCTCAAATATGAAGCCTTCTTGGGCTCATAGTTTTTGGTGAAAGCGCAGGAATTACCACTAGAGCAAACACATCCCTCCTCCTTGCTCACCTATAATGTTTAGTGTAATTGAAAAAACGTGCCATGAGATGGTTATTCTGCATTTCCTTCTTCCTCCTTTGCTGCTTACAGGGACACTCAACAGATTTCACACCATGTGCTTTGTATTCCTAGAAACAGAGCAATGGAGATGCTGGAGTGTTCTCTTCTATGGCAGCTTTGTGTTAGTTGTATCATCTAGTTCTGTTCTCACTTCATATCCTAGGTCCTACTCACAATGTGCAGAAAGCAAGTCATGTGGCCGTCTACTCAGCTTTATTTAGCACCACTTCAACTTTTGCATTATACAATTTATGTTTTTTTTATTTGCAAGTGTATTAAACCAACATAGGGGGAGGATTTTCTTCAGTCATACCAGTTGCATAATGGAACTTCACTTCATGAAGGAGCTTTTTTTCCCCCACAACAGCAGCCAGGTGACTCCTGTGTTACAACCAGTAGAGCTTTCCACTCTACCGGTGTCGAAAAGGGTGCTGGCCCAAGTCCCGAATTTACTACTATCTTTTCAGTAGCCTTTTCATATATAGATATGATATTCTGTGAAGAAGCCTGTTAACGGAAAAATTGTGTATCATGAGTTGATCACGGGAACTTTTTTCACAAGCTAGAGACAGCCATAAGAATCTAATGTGAGGAACTATTATTTGGCTTTTACATTCATTTCTGTTTCAAAAGGTGTAAAACTAGAGGAGGGAGGCACTGGTAAATATTATTAGTTGCATGTTTTGGGGAAAAGTCTGATGATTTCCCTAAAAACAACTGTAAGCGGGAAGTCATGCTCACTTATATTTGACCGGCTGCTCTGAAGCGTAAGAATATGTTTTGACCATGGCTGTGGAGTTCAAAGCAGCGGTGTTTGGAATAAACTTGTGTCACATCCAGTCGGGTTGGATATCTCTCCTTGTCTACATCAGGGGCTTTTTAACCCTGCCTGAAACAATCAAAATATACTTGCAAAATGACCGCATGACTTTTGCTTTTTTTTTTTAAACCTCCCTCCCCCATCCAGTATTTTTGTTAATGTCAAAACCAAAACTTCTCAGGAATGGCTTTTCCCCCTTTGGAGGCAAAAATATTTCAGGAATGAATTGTGGTTATGCTTCAGTATTATTCTCAGCCTAATTTGTTTTGGGTTTTGTTTCTTGCACTGTTTCATGTAGCAAGTTTAATTAAAATCAGCATAATTATTCAGCTGTAGAGTTAGACAGTTGGGCATATGTATGTTTTGGCTGCAGCAGATTGAAAATCATGATCTTTCTACGTTTTCCTGATTAGCTAACAATAAAAATAACATGCAAAGTTTTTACTGTTGTCGTTCTCTTGGAGTCATTCACATTGCAGCGGACATGATAATCCATATGATTGAATTTTTTCTTCCTCACATGCTTCCTATCCCCCCGAAACACTAAAATAAAAGTTAGATAGGGCTACAATCTCCTGAAGATCTAAAAAAAGTTTTAAAGCTATTACTAAGTTTCTGGTCCATGTAATTTGCAAGAGTTTTAAAATGTTTGGTTGTGGTTTCGGGTTGTTCTGTTTTGATTTTTTCATTTGTGTTTTTTTTTTAATGAGTGCCCTTTCTGAAGAAATATAGAACTTATCAGCCAGAATCCTATGGGAATCTGTGCAGCGTATTAACCCCAAATGGCATAATTGGTGTACATGATCATTCTGGCTGGCTGCCATGCTCTTAGACGCACGCGGGTCATGCCCTCAGTTAAACACTGTTTAGGGTGTGAGAAGTACGTAGTTACAAAATGTCTCATTCTTGGCAGTCTTCCAGGCTTGCCTAGACCTTCTCATGAAATCACAACCCCGGTGTTGTTTTCTATGGTTGTTCTTGTTGTTTTGTTTTCTTGCCCATTATCCTGTGCCAAATTCGGCATGGGAAAATGCCATTCTGTATAGCAATTGTAACAATCCTATGCAGGTTGGCATTTCTTCTGCCATTTCCAAGTGATATCTGTGCAGAAAAGGTGGCATTGAAGGAATTGAAACAATTCTGAGCTGCCTAAAGTTCTGTCTGCCCTTTCCATGTGAATCCAATTTAGGAATTATAGCATTCTGTGCAGGAGTTGTAATAATTATGTGTAGTATTTAAAAATAAACAAAATGTCCAATAATCTTTCTCTTGGGTAGGGAGGCATT